GAATAACATGCTCCAATTGAGGGGCATTATTGTCATTGTAGGACTTTTGTCTGTGACCTCACTACGCAGTCAAAAGCCGGTGACGTTCTGTAACTGGAACTCGTTTTTGGGCAATCGGCGCCATGGTCCCCACACCCAGTGGGCATAGCATTAATAATTTTTTTTGTTTTTGGTGTTCCATTCTATTAACACAAGTTATTATTACTTCACTCCCAAAATAGCACCATATGGGCATGGTATTAATAATCTTTTTGTTTTTGGTATTCCATTCTATTAACACAAGTTATTACTTCGGGCACATTTCCCCCTCCCTTAGAATATTATGATTATTTGTAATTTGTTTAAAAAAAAAAAACACAAGTTATTACTTCACTCCTATAATAGTCCTTCGCGTTATTATAATTATTATTTTTTTGACAGTATGGCTTTGTTTAAGAACGTTTTTTTGGTATATTGATTTTTTATGTAATTTTTAAGATATTAAAAAATTAAAATACCTACAATTTTACATTAATTATAAAATAATTCTTGATTAGTTAGTCATCTATAGAGGATGGGCATTAAAATACCTACAATTACAACTCTAATTCGGCACTTCCAAATCAAGACTAGATAATAATAATATTAGTACTAAATTTTACTATTATTATTATTTTTTATACATATAATAAAAAATTCTATAATAAAAACAACCCTACTCTTCTTAAACTCTTTTTTTTTTTAACAAGGGCAATTTTTCAAGATAGGGGAAGGGGATTAAACTCAACCCGTAGGGCTGGGGACACACCGACACACACCAATTACCAATCGATCTTACAGGCCAGGTGTGTTACTCTTTTTAAACTCTACTTATTTACTTTAGATTTATCCATTTAAATGTTACCTAAAATAGGTGTTTTTGTTATTATTATTATTATTTTGATTTTGATTGTATAATAAAATGTAATCATTTTTTATTTTTTATCTTATTAGATCTCATGTTATGTGACTTAAATTTAAAATTTTTTTTTAGTGAAATGAGATAATTATTGAATTATTTAAGTTACTGATATTATTGTTGTTATTATTATTATTATTATTTGAATGTTAGAGATAAAATTTAAATTTTATTACTATCAAATTTAATATGAAAATTTTTTTATAACGAATGGATAATCACTTAATTACGAAAATGTTCTTATTTTTGTTATTATTATTATTAGACGCCCACGTCAAGGGTAAGTACATGAGAAGATGGAAGCTTCAATTTTAGATGAAAAAGTCAAAAACCTGCATAAGCAGCATTCCAATTTCCAAAGACGTAGACATAGACAAAGAAAGGAGTAAAGCAAGCACAGAAACAGTACTGCACAGTACCGAAGAGGACCAAGCCTACTAGCACTGCACAGTGGGAGAGCGAGCGTCGGTTGGCACGTACGCCACGTCACCGTCGCACATGCGAGACTCCTTAATCTGATTGGTTGAGCCGAAATGTCTCTTTTAATTCCCCGAAGCATCAAATTCCCTCACTCCCTCTCTCACTCACTCACACTCGCACTTTTCTCGAATCTCATAAAACTCCAACTAATAAACCCACTTTTTTCATTTCATTTCATTTTTTTTTTATAATTTTTATTTTTCCAGATTTCTTTCTTTCTTCTTTTTATCGTTTTTTTTGTTGTTTTTTATTATCTTTACAGCTCATTGCTTGCTATTTGCAATTGCATTCCCTCACCTCTCCTCTTCCTTCACAGATCGAATCAATCCAAAAAAAGGTCTGTAAATGCACCGTCACTTAATTTCCTCTTTCTCTTCTTTTTTCTCTAAATTTGATTTATTTAGTAAAATTCAGCTCTAGATTGTGCCTGAAATCCGAAATCGAGCTTTGGTTTTATTTTTTGTAATAATCAGAGCATGCATTGGTTACTTAGTCTCGTTTTGAAACTTCAAATCTGTGTTTCTTTTTGGTTTTTGTTGTTTCTGTGGAATGGAGGAGAAATTAGGAGTGTAAATAATCGGAGTTGAGTTGAGAATTGAGAGTGTCTCAGATTCAGTTATCTGAATGACTAAAGGGACTAATTGAGCAGTTTAATTTAGTTTTATTTTTCTCTTTATTTACATTGTTGAATTTCTAATTCTGGAGCTGTATGATTCTGTAGTTTTTTTTTTTTTTTTGAGATTTTTATGCGAGCAGTCTAAAAATGTTGTTGTTGAAAAATTCATCTGCAATTCAGTGAGATAGTGGTTTGAAGAAATTGCTTGTGTTCGAGAAAAGAGTACTGCTGCTATATTGATTTTGGACAGATCTTCCTTGCAGTATTGCTCTCCATATTGCATCTGTTAAGATAATAACACACATATGCTGTTAGATTTTCTGTTTGTTCCTTAATTGTTTGTTTCTGGATGAAATTGTTAACCAATTGACATAGTTCTTGTGCAATTTTCGTTGAGTTTTATGGTTTTCTTTTCCGACACAACTGGCATTGTAGTTTCAATCAGAATCTAATTCTGGTACATGGATTTGCTAGATTTACAGGTTTTTTTTCTGGTACATGAAATTCTTATCGTGGTTCACTCTTTTTTGTTAGCAGCCTTTCTTTCCTCCATGATGCCAGATAGCATCATAGATCGGATCACCTATGCTACAGGCAGCGAGCATAGTAGAGCTTGGTGTATCAGATGATTTCTAGTAGCCATTGTATGCATGGCAGTGCCACCATGGGCATCTGTCTGCTAAAAAGTCAAGTGCTATGGCTTCTTTACATTCTAGTGCTCTATATCCCATTGCATGGAACGAGAGCTCTCAATACTGATGGTATGGTTACATGTTTTTTAAACATACATTTTATTCTGGGTTATGTGTAAGTTATATCAAAGTTAGCAAGTATTGAGCAAAAGTTTTCCCCTATTCTTATAAAATTCTGTAAGACCCTGGTATGTCATCCCCCCCCAATCAGCCAAAATAAAAATGATGTGTTCTTTCCAATTTGTTGGAAACTGCTCTTTAACTTGTCTTGCTTCTTAGGTTTCATATGTTGGAGCTCAATCGAGTTACATTCAGCTATATATGTGGTTCTCCTGATATGTAGGTGAGGCACTTATAAGCTTTAGGACAGCAGTTGTTAGCTCAGATGGTGTCCTTACTCAATGGAGGCCAGAGGATCCTGATCCATGTAAATGGAAGGGAGTGACTTGTGATAGTAAAACTAAGAGAGTAACAATTTTGTAAGTTCTGAATAATGGATAAACATATTTTGAAATCTTTTTTAATTTGTTGCATGCAAAGACCATCTATTTGGAATTTTGGAACTAATATGCTCCTTTTCCTTTATGGATGCTTTCCAGGAGTCTTACCAATCACAAATTAAGTGGACCCATATCCCCTGACCTTGGGAAGCTAGAGCATTTAAAGCTTTTGTATGTGATTGCTAGGGACTCCCTACTTTTTATTTGTAGTGAACACTTTGCTGTATTTGTGAGTATTTACATTATATCTGATGCCTTGTCTAATTTGTCCTGCATTGCAGAATGCTTCATAATAACAACTTCTATGGGGCAATTCCTCCAGAACTGGGAAATTGCACAGAGTTGGAAGGGATGTAAGTATCTCCAGTGGAAATTATGTGTTCATTGCCAAATAAAATGTATTACTTTTTGTTTGAAAAATTCAGTCTTTTCTTTTATCATTTTTAAATATTTTCAATGTAAAACATGCTCCTCTTATTGTCTTTTGGGGGTGATACAAAAGAATCTACATTATCAGCTACTTGTTGTCTGTTCAGTTGAATTGTAACCTTTTCTCTTCTCTAGATTCTTGCAGGGCAACTACTTAAGTGAATTAATTCCAAGTGAATTGGGAAACCTAACTGGGCTTGTAAATCTGTAAGTTGTTTCTCTTTCTATTCATTTGGATAGAATATGAGGGTTTGAATTATTTCTACAATTATGACATGGTTTTACTTTTTCAAATTAGTAAATTTGTTTTGTTATGGTTTTATGTGCATGTTTTGCAGGGATATCTCAAGCAATGCTCTCAGAGGATATATCCCTCCCTCACTTGGGAAGTTAGATAAGCTCATTACATTGTTAGTACCCTTATTTCCGTCACTCTATGTTACTTTTTTAGTGGTTTTGGGATTGGTATCCTAATTCTCTTTGTTGAAAATAATCTTGTCTATGATGGTTGTTTTGAATTTTCTGAAGCAACGTATCAAACAATTTTCTGGTTGGACCCATACCATCAGACGGAGTGCTAAGCAACTTTCCAGCAGGCTCGTGAGTACAAGCATCCTTGGCTTCTTTCTGTTTTTGTGTTTGACCAGTGGGCAGTCATTGTTTGTGGGCTTGCTAAATAGAAGCTGTCATTGAAAGTGATAGCAGGATCCACCACCTGCATTAGTTACTAACCCAGGGAAATGCGAAGGTTTCATGTATATGCTATACTCATTTAACCTACTTTCTTGCAGTTTCATTGGAAATCGTGATTTGTGTGGAAAACAAATCAATGTGGCCTGCAAAGATGATAGACATGGTAAGGGAGATGCTGAATCTTCTAGTTCAGGTAAAGCTGTATAACTGGAATTTAGTCATCTATGGCTGTTTGGTGCTTCTTTTCACTGGCAATTTAGGAGTTTGAACGTTTCCCCTGGAAATTATACATATACTTAGTAACTAAGGTGTTGATGATAATTGGCATGTATGTCTATGATATGAATCAAGGAGGTTGGTGAATCCTTTTCTAGTCAATAACTTCCTCTACAAAATCTGTACTTTTTACAATTTTATTGCATTCATTTGTGCATCTCCTTATGCTAACTGAGATGGTTCACTTGTATTTTGTTTACAGCTAATAATCAAGGTGGGGAGAAGAAAAACTCTGGGAGGCTACTTATTAGTGCATCAGCAACTGTTGGTGCACTGCTTTTGGTAGCACTGATGTGTTTCTGGGGATGCTTCCTATATAAAAAGTTTGGTAAAAATGAGGGGGAAAGCCTTGCCATGGATGTTAGTGGAGGTGGTCTTCTTAACTACTCTTTTTTTGCTTTGGATATTCTAGTAGTCTTTAGTTTTAGTTGTTATTTCTGTGCTTCGCTAAGTCTCTAGAAATCTGTATTGCTGTTTACAGAGTATTTTTGTTTCAGGGGCATCAATTGTTATGTTCCATGGGGACTTGCCATACTCTTCAAAGGACATCATTAAGAAATTGGAAAATTTGAATGAGGAACATATAATCGGTTCTGGGGGCTTTGGAACAGTTTACAAGCTTGCAATGGATGATGGCAGTGTGTTTGCCTTGAAACGAATTGTCAAGATCAATGAGGGATTTGATCGGTTTTTTGAAAGAGAGCTTGAAATTCTTGGAAGCATTAAACATCGATACCTAGTAAATTTGCGAGGATATTGCAATTCTCCTACATCAAAGTTGTTAATTTATGATTTCCTAGCTGGTGGTAGCCTTGATGAAGCTCTTCATGGTGAGTTATCATCTTGTCAGCATTTTTTGTCCAATAACATGGAAATGCATAAGATTAGGTGCTATTTTCTGGAAGGAACATGACAGATTGTCAGTCTTCTCTTTACTCTCTGATATAACTTGACTGGGAATCTATGGGTTTAATTGATGTTTTGTGTTTTCTCTCCTCTTTATTTCTTTTGAGTAAATTGCCTAAGAAACATGTCATAATTTCTTGTACATTAATCTTTTTCCTTGTTTTTCAATCTGTTATAGTCTTGTGGTTACTCCTTCATGTTTTTGGAATTGATGCATTCTACATATTTCATGCATGAGCTGATCTTGTTAGTAGTCTGGGAAACAATGATGCCTGATGACTCTTTGTACAGAAAGATCTGAGCAATTGGACTGGGATTCTCGCTTGAACATTATCATGGGAGCAGCAAAAGGGCTTGCATACTTACACCATGATTGTTCTCCTAGGATCATACACCGTGACATAAAATCAAGCAATATTTTGCTTGATGGCAATTTGGAAGCTCGGGTATCTGACTTTGGGCTTGCCAAACTTTTAGAGGATGAAGAATCTCATATCACGACAATTGTTGCTGGAACTTTTGGCTACTTGGCTCCAGGTATGTAATTGCATTTCTAAGAGTGTTTTAAGATTGTGAAACTCAGGGTTATTAAGACACTTGGATTCTGGAAGTCTATTGGCTCGGCAAAAAGTAGATATGGAGATCATTGTTAGCATATTGCTGAATCTCAATTATCACATTTCCAATTATTGTGTGCCTGTGTAGTTCAATGGAGGCAATCAGAAAGAAACAGACAAAATGAGATGAGGACTTGTTCATTGACTAAGGCTAAGTATTTACCCCTGCCTTTGGGAAGTCCATCTCCTTCCATGTGATGTTTAGGAAAATCCTTGTTGCTACCCTTTAGCATGAGACAATTGAGACTTAGTGATAAGAGCAAATAATTTTCCCCTAATATCCTATAACACTAGGGGTGTGCAAATTGATAGAAGGATGCATTCCTAAATATGTGTTTTTGTATGTGTAACTATTTTAATTTAAAGCTTTACTTTAAGCCATGTTCTTTTGGGGGTGGATCTTTGTAACCATTTATGCTTTTCAAATAATTTTTCTTGAATATGACTGCTTGTTCTATTGACAGAATACATGGTAAGTGGTAGAGCAACTGAGAAGACTGATGTGTATAGTTTCGGGGTTCTTATGCTAGAAGTTTTGAGTGGGAAGAGACCTACTGATGCATCATTCATTGAAAAGGGACTTAACATTGTTGGCTGGGTATGTCTTCCCTTTCTTCTTTTAAAGATTTGGCTTTAACTAAGCTTCCTTTTTCTGGAACAATGTTGTTTAATTTGATTACAGTTACTGGATTCATTCATCCTTGAAGATTTTGTGGTTAAGACTAACAAGCATACTCACTTATTTTGAAAGTCTTAACTTAGGAAGTAGAGTACAACTTGCATTGAATGTAGTGAATGCTTCAGTCTCATTCATCTTGTGCTCTTTTGATGTTCTCGTGTATGTTTTGCATCTTGTTTATTTTGGTAAGCTGTAGATTTCATATTCCATCAACTGAGCAGGAATCTGTCTGAGATTTTGGAAACATATATTTGCAGTTAGATTCTTCTGGCCCAGCAAATGACTACATTAATATTTTCCTTTGCTCCTTGTTTACCTTTTTCTTTGGCCAATTGCACACTGTTTACCAAGATTTATTTATTTTTCCTGCTTTCTGGTCTTTGTTGCTGCAATTTACATTGGAAGTAAAAAGATTACTCTCATCTGGTGGGTTATTCTCTGAAAGTAAAAATAAATTTCCACCCCATTTACAATGGTTACCTGGTTTTGTTTGAAAATATGGAATTTTCATATTACCAGTCTGTTCTCTCTTGTGCAGTTAAATTTCTTGATTACTGAAAATAGGCAACGAGAGATTATTGGTCGAAACTGTGAGGGAGTTCAGGCAAAAAGCCTTGACGCCTTACTTTTTGTTGCCATCCAATGTGTTTCTTCAACTCCAGAGGACAGACCCACCATGCACAGGGTGGTGCAGTTGCTTGAGTCTGTGGTCATGACCCCATGCCCCAGTGATTTTTACGATTCCAACTCTGAATGAGTACTAGAAGTCAACACTGATGGCATGTTTGAGTTTGCATCCATGTTGCTGCTGTTTCTCACAGTTTTAGAGAAGTAATGCAAGTGGTAAAACGAGCAACCCTAAATCTGCAAACAGTTTCACTCTCCATTTACTAATTCATTCTTTCAGCGGATTTATGGAAGCAAGAAATGCAGCTCTTGATCAATTTGACCTCAATCTGATCCATTGGGATAGAACCGTGTCTTGGGTGCATTGACCTCTGGGTGTCCTCATTTTGCATGGGTGCGTGCAGACTTTTCTCTTTCACCATGTGAGTCGTTGGTATGACTTATGGGTCACTTCTTTTACTTTTTGTGGTTTAGCCCCATTTGCTTTAATGAAATTTGTAACCTCCTATTGCATTTCTACCAGATTTAAGTGTATATGACCGTTGTATAAACTATGAACACCATCCCTCTTGGCTGATTCTTATTGTTTATGCCATTTTGTAAAATTTGTTAAATAAGTTCTCTGGATGAATGAAGATTGCCAGATCCAGCTACTTCAATCCCCCTTTTTTTATTTAAACGGACTAGGGTCATATTTTTTATTTGAATCTGTTTTGCAGTTTAAAATGCATTGGATTGTAAAGTAAGAGTTATTTACTGGGAGAAGATCTTAATATTAAGTTCATTTTTCATTTAATGACTATAATTGTATAATTTAATATAGTTTAAATTGTATAATAAAATTTCCTTTTTATTTTCTTTTGGTCTACATATTTTTCACACAGTTATAGATTTACCCCATTTTTCAGTATTTACGTTAGGTGTTTTTAAACTAACTTTTGCGTATCTTAAAGGTAATCCTTCTTAGTGGATTTTAAAGGAGTATTCTTACATTAATCTAATGTATTTAAATAAATTAATTTTTTCTAATAAACGAATTTGTCCTTGCTTTTTCGGGTTGGCCTAATATATATAGTTCGGGATTTGAGAGAAAACCACCAATCTTTTACCATGAGGGAGGACAGCAAACAATTTTAGGTTAAAATGAACAAAATTATCTTAATTGTTTCTTTGTTTCCCCTGGCCCCCACAATTCCATTTGTTCCCCGAAAAAAAAAAAAGGGAAAAAGAAAAAAGAATGAGTTCGTGTTTCTACCCCATTGACATAATCGCCATGGCTGCAAAATCATTACGTTTGTCGTGGAGCCTCTGTTTCTGCAGTTCGTTAAGTTTTATTCCATCCAGGCTTGATTTCTAAAGTTCACTTCAGGAACTGTGAAACTGTGAAAACCAACATTCAACTTATGCAAGGGCAACATCAAACTAATTGGAAATGCATTCCAATTTATGTGAGCTCTAATCTAATGCATATCTACAAAAGGATGTACAATGTTTTGCACTGTATCTTCAAACGTTTGAATGATGACAAGAAATACCACTTGAGTTTAGGGTTAGTTCAGGTTGGTTTTGGCTTCACAGTGTGAATGACAGATGAGATAGAACGATCTACCATGTCCATGAAACCTCGGCCAGGTTTTGACATAGTAGAAATAAGAGACGAGTAATCTGACAATGTTTCATCAGATAAGGGCTCCAAGAATTCACACCTAGCCAAGATTTCAGGTGGGGGCACTCCAGCAATTAGGTTTGTGTCTAGCTTAGGTTTACCCTTGGTGAGCTCTTCAGGCAATTTGATTGGTATACTTTCAAGGGCAGAGGGGGTTGCACCTGCGATGACCCCTTGCTTGAAAGGTAGTGCTCTTTCAGCTTGCAAACAGAACTCTATCCATTGGTGGATTAGTGGAGATGGGCCTCTCACTCGCCCCCCGATTCTGTTTGTATTGAGTCTGGATGCAGCTGGGATTGCCTACAAAGAGAACAACATTGACATTGTAGGATAATCTACCAATGAGTTTCAGTTACATTTCTCCTATTGGTAACAGTTTCCAATGGTTGAACTACCCAGAATACATTTACTTTCATTTTTCAAGGTTTTATGATATCAAAGCTTTGGTCATTTTGAATTTGGCTTAACATCAAACATCAAAAGAATGGTTCAGAGGCATACCCATAGATCAGCCCATAAGCTAGTGCCAGACTTTGGAACGATTACTGCAACATTTGACATGCGTTTTGCAACTGGAAGAACTTCACTACTCCAGCCAACAGCCACCCACACATCTCCCACTGAAAATGCTTTGAGATAGTGCCCACTGTCAAATAAGCGAACCTACATATAAAAAGATCCAGGTTTAGCAAATGCTACTGGACCCCCGCTCCATAATTCCATATCATCTGAGAAGAACCCCTGCTTGGAAAAAGAAGGAAAAAAGAGAAGACATGATATCATCTCAATCTCGGTAGTCAGTACCTGCTTTCCAAGTAAAGCAAGATTCTGCTGTACAGCATTCCTCCCACCAGCAACTTGCAGGTTGATGTTGCTTGTGTTGTATGATGCCCCCATGTACTTTAAGACTGCACCAACCACCTCTCTAGGTGAATTCACCATTGAAATTCTTCCTGCAAGCTCAGGCCGCCATAAATCTGCCCAGTCCTGCAATATAATTTTCCTAAATTGTTTAAGGAACAAAATGGGAACAATGCAATCTTGAAAAGCCAGTGCTGAGGTTAATGGCATGCATGGTTTATGAAAAAGCAAAAGCGCAAAAATAAGGAGTAACATAAAAGTGGCCACTTCAGCAGTGGCAAGATAGTTATCCAACATCACAAGAAGTTACCAATGAAGTTGATCTGTCTAAAATGTCAATATTAGGAAAGCAAAAGTCAAACTCCTTGATTCATAATATAACTTGCAAAGGCAAAGAGAAATTTCAAAAACAAATTTACCTCTATAGGAGCCAGCTTATGCTTTTGAAAATTACTTTTCTTGTATGCTATCACCATGCTGCCCCATCGATATGGTACTGCCCATATTTCACCTTCAGGATCTATTTTCCCATTGCAGTTTCTGCGTAGATACATCTGAGACATTTTTAGTAGAAGAAAAAATTGGCATTATCCCCCTCCTCACCATCAAAAGTAAAAATGAACAGAAAAAAGAAAATATGATTATTTTTAGCAGCACAATGACAAAAGAACTCAATGTACCCCGGTTTCTGTCACACATTATAACCAAAATTGATCAACATCTATGTTCACTTAACAAATGGAGTGAGTTATTACACTTTTGATATCAGGTAGGGAAACAAATGAATTCCCTTTCAAGCTGCTGTCAATTACAAGTAGAAAGCAAACACAATTGAGGGAGTAATTGATGGTTAAAGAATTTTTCTAACTTACAAGGCTAGAGAAGAAACACAATCTGATGAGAAAATAAAAAGAGAGCAGCTGTTTATTAAACTGAAAAATAAATAAGAACACAAATATTCAGCTGGGATAATTTAATCATACACAACTAGGCAAGAACTTATAATAACATGACAAGCGAACAAGAACAGATCTTTGTTGAACATGGGCAAGAAAACAGAAACACCTTAGCATATGCAAAAAGACCGTCTCATGAATTGCTTTCAGTAAAATTATGCTAATAATTCAAGCAGAGTAAGACACTGCAAAAGCTACTCTTAAGTTTAAACAAATGCATGCATTGAGGAAATTGAGACCCTTTCTCCTTTCTAGTTTTCTCTTCAATTGACCATTTTAGCAGGAAGTTATGACAGCTTACCTTCCATTTCTCACTTAAGTCCTTGAACCAGTCCTGCTCTTCTGCACCTCTTATGGGTTCAATTATAGCCTTGTTAATAGCATAACTGAGCCATGAGTCACCAACACTCACAATATCAGCCGCTACAGTAGATGTAGGTCCAAGTTTCCCTCGGCTAAAGTCCTTACACAGATCAGAATAAATTTCTTCAAGATTTCCACGGACCTTTGTCTGAAACTTTAATCTCTTCCCTTGTGATTTCATGAAATCCTTAACCCATGAAGGAGGCGTGGAGCCCTGAAGAGCAACGATTCTCAGAGGCACAGTTAAAGCAAATGATTTAGACTTCCAAGCTTCAAATGCTGGGTCCAACTCCTCATCCTCTAGCTTTTCTACGTCTCCATCCTTTTCCTCATCACGTTGAGCTGCATTTATAAATCATACTCAACTGCTAACACAAGGGAACTGTAAATCGAAGCTTTTAAGCAAGTACCTCAATTGTGCAAGTACCTTGAAGTGTCTCGTGGTGATGGGGCCGCGGGAGAAGGGGAGGAGCAGAAGCGGCGGAGGAGAAGCGAAGACCGAAACCCAGAAAGAGAATACCAGAGAAAGCCAATCCAACCAAGCTCTGTCTCAACTGCTCCTTCGGATTGTGGGCACAGGCGTATACACTAAGGAGCCGCCGCGGCTTGGTGGGGATACGGAGGAATGGGAACTTCGGATTGGAGTCGGAGCGCAGCGGGTGCCGATGGAACTGGAGGTAGAGTGTGTCTCTGCGGAGACAAGATACTACTGCCATTGAGGAAGAAGACGACCCAGAGAGGAACCGGCTCTCGTTGTTGGGAAATTACACTTCACCGGGTTTGGGACTTCGGGTGAATAGAAAAATAATAAATTAAAATATTTCATATTTCCATGTATCAGCCACAGTCCACACAGAGAAAAAAAAGGGAAAAGTTTTAATAAAATATATATATAATGAAAATAATATTACTTTTAATTAAAAAGTGAACCATTTTAATTTTTTTAACAAAAATTTATTAAAGTGCTTTTCC